ATGGGATTAGGTCCGAAGATGCGAAGGTGGCTAGCATTAGTGACTGGCCGCGACCCCAGTCTGTAACCGAGGTCAGATAATTCTTGGGAATGTGTGGTTATTACCGCAACTTCGTAAAGAACTATAGCACGATCGCATCTCCCTTGACTAATCTAATTCGAATTGATACGCCATGGGACAGGACCGGCGAGTGTGAGGCAGCTTTCAAGCGTTCGAAGCATGCTCTCACGCACCATGAGGTTCTCATGGTACCCGACCCACAAAGGCCATTTTTTGTAACTACTGACGCAAGCCAATACGACATTGGCACAGTGTTGGCTCAGCAGGAAAGGAAAGAGTTGAGACCGGTCGAGTACATGAGCAAAAAGATGCCGTCAAAGAAGTTGGCAAAGTCCACCTACGAGAGGAAACTCTACGCTCTCTACAAGGCACTTGTCCACTGGAGGCACTATCTGTTAGGAAGGTTTTTCTATTTGAGAACTGGCCATCAGACCCTCAAGTGGATCAAGACACAACCGGTTCTTTCCGATGCACTCAAACGCTGGATTGAAGTCATAGACCAGCATGACTTCAAACTAGACTATGTGAAGGGAGAGTACAACAAGGTTGCAGATGTGTTGTCCAGAAGGGCAGATTACCTGGGTGCGCTAATTTCCGAGTTTGGCCTATCTGAGGACGTAACTCGATCTATGGAGGAAGCCTACAAGGAAGATCCCATCACGATGGATATCATCAACAAACTTCAGGCTAAGGACAAGGCCACCATTGATGAGTTTGTGGTGGTGGATGGGTTGCTCTTTCTTGAGAAGGCAGGGTTTAAGAGATTAGTTGTTCCATCTAGGGAAGATATGCGTAGTTTGTTCTTAGGAGATTGCCACGACGCCACGAGACATTTCGGCTATAAGAAGACTAGTGCTAACTTAGTACAACGATTTTGGTGGCCTAACATGTTGGACGATGCAAAGAAGTACGTACAGACCTGTCAGGTCTGTCAACGGGACAAGCCGCGGACTCAAGCTCCGCTTGGGTTACTCAAGCCTCTACCCATTCCTGCTGCCCCAAGGCAGAGTATCTCCATGGACTTCATGGATACTCTCGTGACCAGCAAGAATGGCAAGAGGCACATCTTCGTCATAGTGGATAGGTTCACTAAGTACGCTAGACTAATCGCCATGCCAGAGACTGCTAGGACTGAGCACGTCATCAAGTTGTTCATGGACAACTGGGTGCGTGACTTTGGACTTCCAAAAGCGATTGTCAGTGACAGAGATGTACGTTTCACAAGCGAGATGTGGAAGAAAGCCGCTGAACAGATGGGCAGCCAGCTTCAAATGACTTCTGGGAATCGTCCGGAAGCAAATGGGCAGGCTGAACAGATGAACCGATTGGTGCAGCATCTGCTGAGGCATTACATCAAGCCCAGCCAGGATGACTGGGATGAGAAATTACCTCTCATCGCCAGCCTGTACAACAACGCTGTACACAGCACCACCGGCGTCAGTCCTAATCAACTGCATCTGGGGTGGAWGCCTAGATCTGCTCTAGACTTCCTCYTGCCTGAAAACCGAACTGCTGCAACTCCTGGAACCATTGAATTTGGTGTCCAGTATGAGAAATTGTTGCAGCAGACTGTCGAACACATCAAGAAATCTCAGGAAGCCATGATTGCTTCTGAGAACAAGCGTCGCAGACAGTCCACATTTCAGGTAGGGGAACGTGTCTGGGTCAAGGCTAGGGAGTTGGGACAGGAGTTTGGCATCTCTAGGGAACTAATGCCTCAGTGCTTCGGTCCCAGGGAAGTCCTAGACATAGTGGGGAATGATTTGGATGGTCCCTCCTATGTCATTCTTATCCCTGGTCACTTATGCACTTACCCCGTTTTTCATGCCTCCAACCTTGCACCTTTCGCTGAGACAGCACAATTCCCATTACGGAGATCTATGCTGCCCCCAACTATGGATTGCCACGTGGACGTCGACGACATCCTGGATCATAGAGACACGCCTGTTCCCAAGCCACCTGGCAGGGGAAGACTTCCCAAACCTGCGAGGGAATACAAAGTACATTTCAGGCATCATATAGATCCGAAGGAAGATCGATGGATTTCAAGGGAGGAACTTGTCAAGACAGCTCCTCAGATCGTGGCAGATTATGAGAAGAAACTGAAGGGGAAGGCACAAGCTAAGGGGGATGGAATGTGCGGAACAAGCCCTCAAGGGGCCCTATCAGACATCACATTGTTCTGGGCTAAGGCCCCCAGCAAGCCAAGTGCCCGCCCTAAGTGAAGGCGGGCCTGAATATTCGTCAAAGGTAAAATTCGACATTTCCACATGTGGGTATTCAGGTTCTCGCAGCACGCCAGTTGGTTGGGAATACGCGTGAGCCTCACATTGCTGCGTCATACAGTTGCCCCAGGCCTTGACATGCGCCTCGGCACACATACACGAAGCAGGGCGATAAATTGGGAAACAGGCCTTCGGCCCTTGCAAAAGCAGTAGTGCCAACGCACCTGCCTAGGAGCCATGCACAGATGCAGCAAACAGCCCAAGTAGGGAGATTCAGGCCGTGCCTAACTGCAAAGGGCCCAGGCCCTCAACTGTAGTCTCAGGCCTGGGTGCAGGGTCTGGGACCCAACCGGAAGCTACTGGAAGCTTCCAGCCAAGCCACACGCGGCATCCAGGAGGCTGCCACTTCCACAAAAGGAAGGAGGCAGCCCTGGCCAGGCATTCTGGCCAGCGCTGGGAATGCGGAAGTGCTGCTGCGCTCTCGCTTGATGCTGCGCTGCTGCCAAGGGCGCTGACGGGGCGCGAGAGGTGTAGTGGGGTGCTGCAGGGCAACGGGGCGCAGGCAGCCATAGCCGGGCTGCTGGGCGCCAGGGGGTACAGCGGATGATCAGGTGGTCTTCAGGGAAGGAGGCGCTGTGTGGGGTAATCAAGGTCTGATTGAGGGTGGCGAGATACGTACCTGGTACATGAAGAGAGGTCGGCGATGGTGTTGGCAGTCATGTACATTGGTCTTCCTGAATCGAAGTGATCCTGTTGTGTGAACCAGCTGTAGGTAGGATAGTCTGGTAGAGTAGGCTGGGCGCTGAGCGCCAGACAGAGGAGAGCGACTTTGGATACTGTATTGGTGTGACCTACGGGCTTGAACATTGGCTCATTACTTCGTTGTATTGCCCTATATGGATGGTTTTCTTGGTGCATTTGTACTCTGCTTGGGACACGACTACTTGGTCAGCTGTGTGATTTCGCAACTTGGTTTTGTGTATATCGCTCACACTCATATTCCTTGCACCCCGGAAAAAAAAAAAGAAAAAAAAGGGGGGGTCCAGAACCCCCAATAACACATCCAACCCCCCCATAGCGTCCCCAAATCCCCCCCAATCCCCCCATACCCCCCCCTAAACCGCCCCCAAACCGCCCTCAAACCGCCCCGAACACCCTCATTACCCACCAGGGCCCCCCAATACCCCCTATACCACCCCAATGCCCCCCTATACTCCAATCCCAACCCCCCCATACCCCCCCCCCCAATTCCCAAGAGTTTCTCAGCGGATTTGGGCTGTACTCAGCAAACGCAGTACAGCCCCCAACTCAGATTTGATAAAAAATCAGTGGACGTTTTTTCTTTTTTTCTTTTTTATTTTTTTTATTGGTCGGCAGACCGCCGACCAGTCGGCCCAACTTGTCGGCTGCAATATGGTCGGCGGTCGGGGTCGGCGGTCAGCAGGGATGCAACCCTGATGAGCTGGAAGAAAGTTTATTTTGCTTGATGTTGTGTTCATCGGGCCCCGCTCCACTACTCACCACATGTACAAAAGACGAACTATGGCATTGAATCTTCCCATGTTCTAGCTGAACATTGGGCCTCGCCACACTATACTTGAAACCTGAAGTTTCAAGCATGCATCATCGCTGCATAAACTCTCAACTCAGCACCTCTTGAAAATTTTCAAGAGCTGTCAGATTTACTCTCGAAAATGTCGAGAGTGCATCATCGTTGTACCAACCCTCGAAACAAGCAATTCATTTTCATTTTGCACATTTCACGAGTAGTGGAGCGAGACCAATCATTAAGGCACTCCCGTGAATCTTATTACAGAACTTGCTTGATGTCACAGATATTGTCAGATACTGTCGGATATTGTCATTATGGTGTCAGATATTGCCAGATACTGTCAGATAGTGTCCATGAGATACTGCCGGAAATCGTCTGTCAGATATTGTCTGTCAGATGGTGTCAGGGGGGTTTCTCTCCTGTAAGATTTTTTTTCTTTTCTCTCGTTATTTCCCTTTTTCACAATTTTACAGACAAGCAATACCTCCGAGCCTCTTTTT